GACGACCTCTGTGGAAATCACTCTAGCTGTTGTGAATGAAGAAGGTTGATCAAATATTACTCAGATGTATTTTATGTCTGCAGGAATTTTTGGTATTGAAAATGGGCCAAGTAGGTCCACGTTTTGGTATAGGCCCCATATAACTGTAACGCCAGGTTTAAGGTGTTTGGCTTGTTTTAGCCACAATTTTCACTCGAATTTGCTGTAAATTGGCAGTTTGTGTTCATATAGACAACATCCTTGGAATTCTAGGTCCAACTTTCGGTATTTTTATGACTTTACTACTTATTATGACAGAAAATTGCTCTTACAGGTCCACATCTTCGTATAACTCCCATATAACGGTACATCCCAATATTCGGTAATTTAAGTATTTAGCAACATTTTTCAACAAAATGATCTAAAACTTGGTATTGGTAAAAGGCGCCACCCTCTCTAGTACATAATTGTCTATACAGATGCAAGTTTTTGTGTAGGCCGTATAGATATATACCTCCAGATATTCGGTATTTTGATGATTTGTATCACACTTTTTAACGGAGTTGCTTCAAATTAGGTATTTGGTGTTCGCAATGGATACTACCTCATATGACAGCAAATGTCCTGTACAGATCCACTCCTTCGTATAGCCCCCAAATTACGGTAACTACCAAAAATCGTCCAAGGACGAACCCTATTGAAATTGGTGAAAATCGGTAAAAATTTAGATATAGTTCCCATATATATGTATATTCGATTTCAGGTTTTGATGCCCAAATGGCTAATATCAGCCCAAATGGACTAAAATTTGCAATTCCGACTTAATTTATCCTAAAATCAAGTGTTTAATTTTTTGGTTAAAATCGGTTCAGATAAAGCTATAGCTCCTATATATATGTTTCATCCGATTTGGTGTTGAAGTCTCTCACATGCGTAATATGCACTCCACAACATGATACCTCCGCCAAATTTTATTGAGATCGGGTCAGATTTTTATATAGCTTCATCCAATACATCTTCATCCAATTTCAGGTTATCGCTCACCATATGTATTATATCAGCCCAAGTTGAATAGATTTTTTCATATTAAAACCTAATTTTACCATTTGGAGAACCTCGGTAAGGTATATGTATTGCTCAAATGAATATTTATTATACCCTACAACACTATGTGTTGGGGGTATTATAAGTTTGATTGGGCCAAAAATTATGTAACACCTCGAAATATTGATTTCCCACATAGGAAAGTATATATGGATCTTCCTAGCTCGCCGAGCTGAGTCGATCTAGCTATGTATGTCCGTCCGTCCGTCTGTCCGTCTGTCGATGTTAATTTGTAATCACTCTACAGGTCGCAATTATGGCCCGATCTTCACGAAATTTTGCACGAAGGTGGGGATAGGGTCAGAATAGAACCCTATTTCTTTTGGAGATGATCGCATAATATTTAGGGGTTGAAATGGACCAAATACTGAAAAATTTCTTGATTTTCCAGATGCTCTACAGGTCGAAGTTATAGACCAATCGACACGGAATTTTGCATGTAGCTAGAGTTTAGGGCGGGGAAGAAGCCTACCAATTTGGGTGGACATCGGATAATATTTAGAGGGTAAAATAGACCATATCTTTTGTGTTGAAAAAATGCAAAATTTTCCATTAAACCGCGAATATTTTTAATCCCGGCGAACTCACAAAGCCATGACAAGGTTACTTCTGACCTTTACATTGATGTTAACATCCAACAAATCGGATATATAGCAAAATATGTGCGATATATATGTCTATCAAAGAAGATATGCTTGAAAGATCTCTTATATATCGAGAACGAGTGAACTGATTTCGACAGTTCTCATTAATTCAGAATGGCCTCTTGGCAGGAAAGAAAAACCGTCTAAAAAAGTTGCATAAAAATATCTCTCTAAAGATGAAAACATTGATTTTGTAAAATTTTCTCATATTTTTTCAATTTTGTCATATTTTTGGCATATTTTCATTTTGAATTAAACATTTGGTAATATTTCTACAGCTAACAAAACTAAGTAGTTAGGATATCAGGATATCATATACAGATCGCATTTATGGCTCGATCCTTACGACATTTTGCATGGGGATAAGATGAGGGTCAGAATAGAAGCCTACTCTTTTTGGAGATGATCGCCATATATTTAGGGATTAAAATGGACCAAAACACTGCAAAATTGTCAGCCTGTCGTATTTATCGCCCGATCCTCACGCACATTTGAATGGGGGTTACCGGACATTGCAAAAGCCAAACAGTTTTGGATGGCCATCCAAAAATATTCAATGTGTGAAATAGTTTGCCAACTTTTGTAGACAAAATACAAAGATGTCCATTCCAGTGACTTTTTGGAGAATTCACAAATAAAGGAAAGATGCACTTCTGACTATTTCGTTAATGCTGATTTCGTTAAGGAATATAGTCAAATGTCTGTATCTCATATAGATGCGTTTCAGTCAAAAACCAATAATAAATTTAATCTTTTGCCACTTCTGAGAGATTATAGGTCTTTGGGAAATATTGGTTCCAGATCTAGGAAGACCGTTTACGTGCAACATCTACCAATAGATTCGAAATTAGCAAATTAGTTTAAGTTGCTATTATTCGAAAATTAGAGAACGAAACCTGATGGTTTTCTTTTATTATTTGTCACAATATCTTGTGGAATTCTTTCGAGTATCTCGCATAAAACTGTATCGTTTATTATAGTGTTGTAGGGTATTCAACGGTCGGCCCCGCTCGACTGTAGCCTTTGCTTACTTGTTTTTTAACATAATTTTTGTGGAACAGTGTGGCTTGTTTGTTCGGGATACCATAGTATTTTGTTGTTGCAAATTGGTCTGGCTTTATACCTTTATTGTTGTTTTTATAAAAACAACGTTTGTTTATTAGTGGAGAACGATGGTAATGTTTACCAGGGGGTAAGGCAGGGAATACCTAGGTTTCGGAAAGAGCCACCAATCCTCATCAGTTCCCTTGTTTTTGTCTGGGATATTCTCCCCAGAAGTTATTTTTTGTGTTTAATTTTTTAACATAAGTTTTGTGTTTACAGCATAATATTTCGTATTTTAAATCTATAAAAAAATTATAACGAATAAAAAAGCCGTAAGTTCGGCCGTGCTAAACTTTGAATACCCTCCGCCATTTGGAACGAATTTGGCAATTTTCAAAAAAAAATCCGTAAAAATTTGTTAAAGTCTCCAAAATACCGAATGAAGCCGTTATATTAGGGTCTGTACGTCGACGTGGACCTGCAACTTTTGTCATAAGCCATTGCAATATTCAAATGCAAAACTTGAAAATCGCTAAAATCAGCAAAATACCGAATATAGGGAGATACTATTATATGGGGGCTATACCGAAACGTGGACCTGCACAAACAATTTTCTTCGTCTGTAGTATAAAAGACAATTTTTGATCCAGACACAATAGGCCAACGGATTGGTATCCGCAGATTTCGGTGGCTATTGTGAGCTGGAAATGAAGCGAGAAATCTCATTTTGTAAACATTCTTGGGTGGCGCGTGCTGAGTGCGATGGTGCTGAGTCCTGTTGGAATGCCCAAGGTCTGCGGGCAAAATGTTTGCGTGTCCAAGGTTTTAATACAAGCTCCAGAATATATTCCGCGATAATATCCGGCATTTATTCTGATGCCACGGTCGATTAATACGAGCGGAGAGCGACCATCGGCTGGCGGCCCATACCATCACCATGGACGGCGCTTGAGTTCTGGTGGCCAACCGAAGGTGCACATTTTCAGCTGACCTCTTTGGCAAGTAAACACGATCATTTTGTTCGTTTACAAACTGCTAGACAGCGAATGTTTTCTCATTGGAGAAATTCAAATTCGGCAGTTCACCACTTTCGGCCAAGCGAAGCAACTTTTTAGTTCTTTTGAGTCTATTTTCATTCTGTTGCGGTGTAAGTTCTTGCACTTTTTGGAATTTCAATGGCCTTACCCGAGCTCATTTTTCAATATTTGCCGAATGAAATATTGCGATATATTCAGCTCACGAGCCATTTTGCGGCCACTGCGACGCGGGTTTCGATCAAGTCTTTTCTTTTCGAAACATTTCTCCTGATTTCTTCCATTGCTCTTTTCTTCCGTCCACTTCCTTGAAGTCGGGCTACGCTACCAGCATCACGGTAACGATCGATGGTACGAAATACAAAAGATTTATTCACATTTAAATGCTGGATTGCTCTAACGATAGTCGATAGTCGATAGTCGTGGTTTTCCAGCCAAATAAAAAGAAATCGTACTATCACGCTGGAATTTTATCACGAATAACTTTTTTCTGCTAAATTCTCACCAAAATGCTTTTTTACGCTCGTAAACAATATAATGAGTTGTCACTGGATAATTTTAACAGCTGTCGGACGAAAAATTTTATCAATCTACATCATTTTGTTCGGAAGCTTGAATGATTTCCAGAGACGGACAGGCGTCGCTAAATCGACATAGAATTTTATGCTGTTCAAGAGTATATATCCTTCGTGGGGTCTAAAATGTATATTTCGAGGTGTTACAAACGGAATGACAAACTCTACATACTATGGTATAAAAATATTATAATAAAATTGGTGCAAATATTTCCATAGTTAGATATAGCGAAAATTTCTTCAAAACGTTTGCACTTCTTCGAAACATTTTTAAGAACATTTCAATACTGTAAATCTAGCATTAGGCTTTTCAAATAGTTTCTTAGCATTTTTTATGAAAGTATGTAATTAATTGTTTAAGTTAAATTTGAGATATAATAAAATTATTAGTTCTCCCCATACATTTGTAAAAAATATACATTTTTCAATTCAGAATTAAATTTTAATCAATTATAAATTAATCAAATTATAAATCGGAGTATTATACATATGTTACATCATATAATTAAAATATACCAATTGCAATTGTAAACGAATGGAAAATATTCGATTTGTCATTTGACTGTAATTTCTCTATATAAGAGACAAATGCAAATACCAGAAATGATCATAGTCAACGATGGGTGGGTTCATTGCAATAGTAATTCTACTACGTGCTCTAATGTGTGTTGCGGTGGGAAAAGTAAGTATTTTCTAATGGCATTAATTAACACATACTTCCTACCATTTCCTCGAAACTAACGAACTGAAAATTAAACTACTCCCCAGCAATATGAACTAGATATTCTAGAAGTCGAATGGAATACAACCACACCAGATCTGATAGATGCCAGTTTAAAGCCCGTACAACCATCGCGAGGTGTCTATGGTGTAAGCGGTTTTATTGAATTTAAGGAGGATATCGACATGGACAACACTCTGGCCCAGGTTAAAGTATACTACAGCAGCACTGGAATGAACTACCAGTTATCACCTTTTAGAGTACCGGAACAAACCTTTGCCACAGGCATGAACACCCCGTACAAGCAGTACCTAATGGATGGTTTAGCTGAATGTTGTGAAAATGCCCCTTTTGCTGATACATTTGTATCGCCACTTACGAAACGAGTAATGACTTGTGAAAATTGCCTTTTTCCAAGTGAAAATTTTCCACCCACCTTACGTCTTGGTTATTATCGCTTGACAATTCTTTTGTACAATGACTTGGATTTTATTTTGTCGATCTTATTGAAATTGGATTTGGCTTAGTAACACATGTTATATCAATTAAAAGAAATATAAAAACATATTAGGGCTTTGCAAAACTACTTTTAAAACCCTTGTTTATATCTGAAAAATTTAGTACTTTTTCCCATATCTCGGGAAATTTTCATATAATTTCGCAGTACAATAGCCAAAATGGATTATGGAAAATATAAAGAGGATTTGATAGTACTTGTTTATATATAAAACTCTAAAAGAGTTATTGGTTCTTAGACTAAACATTGTTAAGACCCTTATATCATTGGATCCCCATACATTGAGATATATTGTGCAATATTTAGGTTAGAGCTTTGAAATTTGTTTGATTTCTTAAGATTATCTTATAAAAACGCTATTTAAAAACGGGTAAAAAAGTTACTCACCTCCATTTTGAAGAAACTTGAAATATTGAAATAGGCTGTAGTACCCATTACGAACTTTAAATACAAAGTTTGAACAATTCCTACGGATAATTATAACCTACACAACGCTGTGGTCAGTTTATTGTCTTTCTGCATTTGTTTGTAAGGATTTAGATATAGCTCCCATATATATATATCTTCGTCCGATTTGCCTCCTATTGTACACCAAATGTGTAATATTAGTCCAAATAGATTATGATTTGACAGATATAACGAAATGAAAGTGTGTCAAATTCGGTTAAGATATAGCTATAGCTCCCATATGTTCTTCATCCGATTTGGTACGTTCTGAAAAATATATCAAAGACAGCTCAGAAATACTTTTGCCAAATTTTATCGAGTTCGGTTCAGATTCGCATATAACTCCCATACATATCTTTACTCAATTTTAAGTTTATGGTGCACCATACGGTTAATATAAGCCCGAATTGATTAGACTTTGGTACATACAAACTAATTTTGACTGTAGGACGGTGTATCAAATTTGATGAAAATCGACTAAGATGTAGCCCCCACATATATGCTTCATCCGATTTTGTAGTTAACTCCCTCACATCCGTAAAACACTCTCCACAACAATGATATTTGGTGCCAACTATCAGATACAGCATAGAAATACCTCTGCTAAACTTTTTACAGAATTCTGTTCAGATTTGGATATAGCTCCCATATATGCCTGAAAAGTGTAATATCAGCTTAAATAGATTGGATTTTGATGAATAACGGCTTACAAACAAAATTTGCTTTTAACCGCATTAAAGATCAAAGCTGATATGTTTTAATTCTCGAGCCCAGCCCGACTTTGGCCTTTTTTATTGGTTCATATTATTACTTTTGACACTTGAAGCAATTTCAAATCAGTTTTTCTCAAAACAAATTAGTGTCATAGGAAAACTTTAGAGTAACACCGAAAATATTAAAATATTTCGTTCAAAGACAAAGGATAGACCTGGGAAAAGTTTAATGGCATTTATTTAAAATTAGAAAAAAAACAAGTATGCAAAGGCTATAGACGTGCGGGGCCGACCATGTGACAACACTATAATATGTTAGAAGCCCCCTTATGTCCAAATCCATTTTGGAAGATTTCGCTTTTGAAATTATGTGACGGAGCACTGCCCAGATATTACCCTTAGCATTTTGAGCAGGGACATTTGCCCAATATTTACGCACTCCGTCGTATTTTGCGATCATCTCAAAAAGCAAGAGGCTCCTCTGTATCTCCAAATTTAGACTCTTCTATACGATCTTCTTGTCTACGATATTTGGCTATATTAGTCAAAGAAATCAGCAAAAAAAGGCAGAAGTTCGCATTTTGTGTATTTCGGCTATCACCTGTAAGTAATGTTGGTATTTTTTAGACAAAAGTAGTGGTCCATTCTACCCGATGTCCTAAACTCTAACTTCATGCGAGATTTCGTGTCCTTTGGTTTCTATTTATGTCCTTTATAATGGCTGCAAAATCAGAAACATTTTAAGTTGTTGGTCCATTTCAACCCCCAAATATATTGCGGACATCTTTGAAAACAATAGGTCTAGCCCTTCTGAGCCTAACCCTACCCTTTTCGTGAGGATCGGACGATAATTGCAATCTGTATATAATATCCCAAACCTGTACACCTTAATATTATAAGTCAAATTGAAAAAATCGCATGCGATAAAAAATATGAAATAATAAAAATCTATCACAAAATACTATAAAATCTATATTAAGATCATTTTTGACTTATTTTTATGCGATTTTTTTAGACTTTATACTTTTATGTCAAGAGGGCATTCTGAATTGACAAAATTTGTCAAAATCATTCCTTTCCTTTATATATACACATTGTATATATTTCGTTATATATATCCGATATATATATATACTATCGGCATCTACATAACGGTCAGAATTGTTAATTATTATTTATGATTTGTCCGGGACCAAAAATATTCGCGGTATAATGGAAATTTGACTTTAATTTATCACAAATATTATAGTCTTTTTCACCCACTAAGTATTACCCAAGGCTTCTGCCCAGCCCGAAGCTTTAGCTCCATGCTAATTTCCGCGTCGATTGGTCCATAATTGCGACCTGTAGAGCAACTGCAAAATCAGGATTTTTTCAGTTTTTGGTCCATTTCGACCCTAAATATTGTGCGATCATCTCCAAAAGAAATAGGGTTCTATTCTGACCTTATCCCCACCTCCATTCTAAATTTCGTGAAGATCGGGCCATAATTGCGACCTGTAGAGTGATTACAAATTAACATGGACAGACGGACAGACGGACGGACGGACGGACATACATAGCTAGATCGACTCAGCTCGGCGAGATAGGAAGATCCATATATACTTTCCTATGTGGGAAATCAATATTTGGAGGTGTTACATAATTTTTGGCCCAATCAAACTTATAATACCCCCAACACAAAGTGTTGTAGGGTATAAAAACAAGTAAAAAAGCTGTAAGTTCGACCGGGCCGAACTTTGAATATCCTCCACCATTTGGAACGAATTTGGCAATTCTCAAAAACAATAAAATCCGTTAAAATTCTGCTAAAATCTTAAAAATACCGAATGTAGCTGTTATTTTAGGGTCTATACGACGATATGGTAACTTTTGTCATAAGCGTAACAATATTCAAATGCGAAATTTAATAAAAATCGTTGAATAATGTAGCTTAAATCATCAAAATACCGAGTATGGGGAGGTACCGTTACATGGGGGCTATACGAAGACGTGGACCTGCACAGACAATTTTCTGTCTTATGCTGAATTATCCATTATGAACTTGAAATACTAAATTTGAAATAATTCCGATGAATATTGTCGCTGAAATCATCAAAATACCAAATGACATAATTAACATTTGAATAAAATTTTACCAGTCTACTTCGATTCGTTCGAAAGCTAGAGTGATTTCCACTGACGGACGGACGTCGCTAAATCGACATAGAATTTTATGCTGATCAAGAAAATATATACTTTGTGTCGTCTAAAATGTATATTTCGAGGAGTTACAAACGGAATGACAAACTTAATATACTCGACTTCTTTCCTGTCCTTAACTCTCTCCTCATGCAAAACTCCGTGTCGATTGGTTTTTAATTGTGACCTTTAAATCCACTGCATCAGAAAATTTTTATTTTTTTTTTATCCATTTGAACCCTTTTCTGACCCTAACTCTATCCCCATGCAAAATTTCTTGCGAATCGGACAATAATTGCGACTTGTATTCCCACATAAAAACTATGAAAAAAATAAAAAAACATTCATTTTTTATTGGCATATTTTTACGCGATTATCTTAGATTTTAGCCTTTTCTGGCCATTTCGAATTTGTGAGAATTGTCAAAATCCGTCCAGCAGTTCTTGAGTTATAAGCGGTCTAACTAACATCCCCTTCATTGATATATGAGATGGTATATATATTCGATAAAAGCGATATCTTGGATATAAGCAATAATGTGACGGTCAGAAGTGACATTTTCGTGTATTTGTGATTTTGCTAGGATAAAATATATTCGCGGTTTAGTGGAAAGTTTCGTATTTTTTACATAAAAGCTATGGTATATTTTACCCGCTAAATATTGTCCGATAACCAACTAATATGGTAAGCATCTGCCCAGTCCTAAACTCTAGCCCCATGCTAAATTCCGTGTCGATTGGTCTATAATTGAGACCTGCAGAGCAGCTTCGAAATCCGGATATTTTTCTGTACTTGGTCCATTTCAACCCCTATTCTGCCTATTGCCACCTCCATTTTAAATTTCGTGAGGATTGGACCATAATTGCGACCTTTAGAGTGATTACAAATTACCATGGACAGACGGACATGCATAGCTAGCTCGGCGAGATAGGAGGATCCATATATAGTTTCCTATATAGGGGAACAATATTTCGAGGTGTTACATCATTTTTGGCCCAATCTTATAATACCCCCATCACATAGTGTTGTAGGGTATAAAAATTATGGCAATAGACCATATGTCATAATCACATCAAATTATTTTCAAATTAGATCTACGTAGTTTCAAAATTTATTTCCTATAAATATTTTCAACGCCCATAGGAATTGATGTTTTTCATTCAAGACACTTCCCTTAAACTTTCTCATAAATAACAGCATTACGATTAACCAATAAAATGTCGATACATTAAAGTCAACAATTAAAAAACTTAAAGACCTACAGCACGAGCCAATAACACAATCGCTTTTCTATAATTTACATCATTACAACAAGATATAATTAAAACATTTCAAAACTCAAAACTCTGCTGATGTTTGTTGCAGCCGTGTTCATTGTTCAACTCAAATGCGTTCATCCCAGTATGGGGTCTCAGTTGGAGTCTCGAAGAATAAACTTATCGTTATTGAATAAAATGGCAACCATTTTCAGGCGGCCATGGAATATCAGTCAGTCATTTAATATTACTTATTTTCTTAACGAGCTTATCAGCATAACAAAAATAACAACTTCCAATAGCAACACCATTGACGACAACAGCCCCAACACCAACCATGTTGGCTAAAGATCGCCAAGAGGCAAACGCGAGGGGTGGGGAACAAAGAAAAAACTTATTGTTTATAAATTAATGACGTGCATTGAATGATCGCCTGTTTTGTTTGTGCAACCATATTGAAAATTGATTAACAATGAAACCACCCAGACAGACGGCTAGTGGAAGAGTAGCCGGCAAACCAACAGACAATAAAGAAGCCATTGAAGAAATCTACAAAAGAAAAAAAAACGACAACAGTAACTATGTGGCAGGCAAAGTAATCAAACTTAATTGTATTATTGAATATTAAGATAATGTCTGTCGAGTCGAGGGAGAATATAAGGATGAGCGGCCATTTACCACTTTATTTACT